GTGACTTTGGAAGGCACTGTAGCAAAGACAACAGAAATGTAGAGTGCCCCTAGAGTCCTAGAGTTTTGGTCTCACTTCTGAAAGGGGACCTGACATACCCCAAAGAGCATCTGGCAGTGTACACAGAGTCTCACTCAGCAGTCAATGGATTGATAGAGTGGTTTGGCTTGTGGTTACCAATATACCCTGTGTTAACCCTTTGCGTGGACTATTGGACTACTCTAAAGGGACTTATCCTGTAGATTGAATGGCAGGAAGTCAAAGGGTAGATGACCACAGTGGGTCTTTGTGGGGTCAGGATGTGAGGAGACTTTTGGATCTGTCTCCAAGAATGTGGGGTGCTCCTCACTGTGTTCCATGTCCCAACTCATAAGGCACTGACACTCTCTGGCAGTCAGGAATCCGATGCCCTAGCTCAGGCACAAACCTTAGCAACAGACTCTTCAATAGATACAACAGTGGATGCATAGAAAGTTCCCCTGTGAGATGGCATATTGCCAAGGATGCCAGATTGTCCTTGAAATGGAACTACTTGGCCCATGAAATAATAAATAATGTATCTTAAGTATTGTCCTAAATAATGCCCAAGGCAATTGCCAAAAGAGTCTGGGATCACCCGCCTGAGTTACCAACAGGCAAGAGACTGGGAAAATAATTATTTCTTCCTCCTCCCTCTCATTGAGGGCTCCAAACATGCTCTGGTTTGCCTGGATTTGATCTGACCCATTGTCACCATACAAACTGGGCTGCCATCATTAGAGGATTCATGATGTACAGAAATACTGTCAACTAAGCAGTGATTGGGGATCGGGCAAAAGAACATGACTTTGAATGGGGGTTCCATTTCCCTAATAACCCACAAGCCACAGCATTGATAGCAAGGGAAGATGGAATATTAAAGTAGAAAACTTCCATGGCATAGGAAGACTATAGTACTGTCCCAGGATTTAGTAATTTTTAAATTTTATCAGTAAAGTCTATTGTCCTATATGCCAGAATGGGGATCCCTGCCAAGGTACCATAAAGATATGGGAGTCATGGGAAACAGTGATTATCCCAACTCTCACCATGAATCAAAGGCTTTGCTTATGAAGACACCAAGCCCATCCTGCCTGGGAAGGGTGTCAGCTACTTGAATTTGCAATGAGATGTTCCACTAGGACTTAGAAGTTGTTTCTTACTCCTGGGTAAGGGGGATACTATTCATTGCCCCACTGGGGTCCCATGTCTACAAATTGGAGCTGTTAAAATGCACTGTGTCAGGGACCGAACATAGGTCATTGAAAGAGGGGAGAAGGTGGGGATTCTGGTCTGGAATTTCCCTGCTACCCCAGTAGTTCTTCCACCTCACAATGCTGCTTCCCCTGGTAAACATGCACAGTATGTACAGCAGTCAAGTTCCAAAGCTGCCAATTTCCCTCCCTTTCCTCAAGGGAGAATGACACTGTTTTTCACTAGTTTGATCATATGACTGCCATCTGTGGCCTGGAGGATGCTTTAGCACATAGAGAAGCCCTTACTGAAATCACTCAGCAAATCTTAAATTGTAGCTATTGCTAATATGTCCTTACTGAACACTGAAATATCTCTAAATGGAAAAACTGTCCTCCAGAGCCTCCCTGGTGGCCAGGGGGTTAAATTTCAGCACTATCAACTGCTACAGTCTGAGTTCAATCCATGGCCAGGGAGTTAACCCACACTTGACTGCCTCAGACCTCTCCTGTCTCACCTGCTAATCCCCTCTGCAGTGAATTTCAGTAAATCCACCTGTTCTGCTCCCCACTCTGTCTCTGGTTAATCCTCTCACCCTAACGGCTCACCTGTGGCCTATACCCCAGTTCTTCAATGCAAAAATAAATAAAATCTTTAAAAAACAACTATCCTCCAAAAGTAGAATGGCTTTGGACATTATTACTGCCTCACAGGGAGGCATTTTTGTCATTATCCAAATAGAACATTGTGTATCTATACTTGATGAGTCTGATAACATATTTATTAAATCACACAGGGACACAAATGAATGCTTTGAGTGATTTGACCATTACTGTAGTTCCCTTAATAAATCAATAGTTCAGGTCATGGGGCACTTGACGGAAAAAGATCCCCAAGACCACTGATTTTGGGGATCATTGTCTTAATCTGTGTTTTCTCTTGCATTATTGGTGTGGAATCTGCTTCCAAATACAACCAGATAGTTACCAAATGACTCCGTGCTAATAAAAACCCCTTTGCTAACTGCTCAGAGAATATTGCAAAAGAGGGGGGTGTCAGAACCAGTCAGAAGGGGTGGAATGTTGGGAAGACAATCAAAAGAACATAAGAACTGGTTGATCATTGAGCTAACCCCAGGCAATTAAAGGCTACTCACAACTACACACACATACCCCACCCTGCAATGTTTATTTCTCTTGCCTTCCTGCTCCCAAGAAACAGGTGGTCTGTCCAAAGTCATACCCCAGATAAAATATATTGCTGAAAAAAAATGTATTGTTGAAATCATGTGGATGGTGTATGTGATTACCTAGTACAAACTTTGTAAACATTTAAGATTTGGTGGGCAGGTAAGGAAAAGTCTGCTGTGTTGAAGTAAAAAAGAAAAAAAAAGACAAAGTCCCATATATTTCCTCGATTAGCAAAACTGCTATCTACCAATATGGAATGGTCTGGTCTGCCTTTTTCTTTGGGGGATGCAGTTTCAGATTATGTCTAGCTCAGGCATTCTGAGGTTGCAAACCAAACACCTCTTACCTACTACCTTTTCCCCAGTTTCATTCCTGGTATTTTGAAACTGATGCCAAGTCTTATTTTTTGTGCAGGTCCTTCTAAAGCACTGGCATTTCTGATGCTTTCTGACTAGGTGCTACAGCCTCCCTAGCCCCATTTCTCAGTCCACCCTGCAGCTGGGGTGTCTCTGCCTCTAGCTCTTCTGCTGCCTTGACTTCCCCAGCTCTCTGACTCCTGGTGCTGGTCCCACCTCCTACTCAGATCACTGTTATGGTGAGGCTCAGTGAATCCAGAAGTGCTAGGCAGGTAGGGGTCACCTCCCCATGGAGAGGGAGGCCTCAGGGCTTGGTTGCCAAGTACAAAAGGTAGAAACTCAGTCTCTCAGGTATTCACAGATAGACCAGTTTCCAAAAGAAACCAACACAGACCAAGATGCTGGGAGGCTGAACCCTAGATTTGAAAAACAACAATTTAGGTTCTACTAGGAGCTCAGAGAGTCTAAAGAAATGTATCCAGTCAACACTGTAACCTGTGGTGGTTTCTCAGGGTCCTTAGGATGGGGGAACCCAGACTCAGGCCTGGAAACACAGTGTGCAGGGGAAACACATTTTTTTGAGGAGTTTGAGTTGTTGGTTTCTGTCCTCATTTCACAAAAGTCACCACCCAGAAAAAAGCATAGGAGTGGCGCTGCAATATAGGAAAAAGTGAGATTCCTGGACAACACATGAGGGCTAGAATGACCCTCCCAGTTCCTGGACTGGGCACTCACTCTCTGTAGCAGCCCCTAAATGTTCCAGCTGGATTCAGCTTCAGGCTCTGATAAGATCTCCCTGTCCTTGGGAAAGGATACTTGCTGCCCCAGTCTTTTGGGTATGCTCCATCCATCCATCTCTCAATTCAATGGTTCAGTTTGATAATTATTCATCGGGAAACTTGCTGAAGTCTTGCCTGGCCTAAGTTCCCCAGAGAGAAGTGCCCATGATGCAATCACTGCCCCCCTCACCTCCAAAACACACACACACACACATACACCTGCGCACACGAAGACTTGAGTCTCTATAGCATTCCCTTACCGAGTGGCCACGAATCCCAGGCAAGATGAGCAGGAAGCTGGCACCCAAAGCCAAGAACACCGCAATGATGATGAGCAGTGGGATGTTGAAGCCAGCAGGGTGATGGGGCTGGGGATAGAAAGGCAGCACCCCATTCCATAAAGTCATGCTGCAACCAGGTCAAAAGCTGCAAGCTGGGTAGCTGAATTGTCGTGAGCTGGAAGAGCAGATCTCTGGTGTCTGCACAGTCTCTCTTCTCTTTTATCTGGGCCTGGTGGCTTGCACGCAAGGAAAGGGCCCAAAAGGAAGCACAGTGGTGGCTGGCTGCGCTGAGCACTCTGATTTGGCCAGGGCGGAGTCGCTAGGCAGCAGAGCAGAATTATTCACTGGCTGCTGTCATTTCCCAGCTCTGGAGGTTCGCAGGACCTTTTGAAGTCTCAAGCAACCGGAACCCCCTTTTATAGCAGTGGTCTAGCTCACCAGAGTGGTAAGAGGTCTTGCAAATAAGGGGCGAAGTTCACCATGCAAATAAGAGGAGCTCCGCCTTAACAAGAAAAGGACTAACCAGGGTTAGTCCTGTTGCTCACACGAGGATCTGGCCTGGCAAGAGAGGACACCTGCCAGAGCAGCAAGTCAGAGGACCTGGAGAGAAGGGTGAGAGTATGTCAGGGGAGGCTGAGGATCTTAGGGTCTGAGATGATGGTGGTGGTGGATGGGAGAAGTACAGACGTTGGAAGCAGAGTAGAGAGGCAGAGATTCTAAGAGGAAAGATGACTTCTGACCTAGACTGGAGCTGGAAACCACAAGATAGACCAGGTTTTGGGGTCTGATCTTCCCATCCCTTCTCTGCTAAGGCATTCACCATAGGGTGTGAGCCGGGAGGTCCTAGCTCACTAGCCTCTTTATTTACCAGCTTCCTGTAGGAGAAGCAGTTTGGGGGGGGGGGAGAGGTTGAGAGTGAGGATTCTGGGTTTTGGGGGTGGGGAGCTGGAGGCAAACTCTTGCTCTGTACTGACATGCCCTTGAGGACTTGCCCTTGGGTTCCTGTGGTTCTCAGTCATTCCCCATGGGGCTGTGTTCTAAAGAGTTGTGTGAGGATGTGGATCCTTGGTGATGCTTCTAAAAGTTTCACTCTAGAAGTGAAAACAACGGGTCCTTCCTTCTCCCAGAGCTCCTGAATCATAGGGGAAAAGTAAAGGGGTATGCTAGATTGAAACCCTCATAAACAACTTCCCATCCCCCAGATCGCTGGATCAGCATGCTTTGTGCGCGGGCAGAGGCACTGATGCTCCTGGGAGCGCTGTTGACTGGATCCCAGAATCCAGCGAGTAAGTATCAGTGCCACTAGCTTCTAGATGTCACCGAAGTACCCTCTCATAGGTGGAAGAGGGAGGGGCAGGCCGGCGGCAAGCGGTTTCCTGAGGCTAGGGAATCCGGCAGATAGCTGCATGGTTCAGCCAGAGGGGAAATTTTCCCGCACAGCCTCAACACCTTACTGGTGTCACAAGGGTCCGCGATGGGGGGCAGTTGCCTGGGGAAGAAGGGGCGGCCGAGGTCTTTGGGTTTCAGGAGGATTGATTGGAGGCTAAGGCTGAGACGATCTTTGGACCACAGGTTGCCAGGACTCACCCTCACTACCCTGGGAAGTGCAGCGCTATGACGGCTGGTTCAACAACCTGAGGTACCACGAAAGTGGCTCTGCAGGTGCGTCCTATGGTCCTGGTGGGAAGGAATGGCTCAGGTCAGGGGTACCTGAGACCCGGCTGTGGAGATGCTGAGCCAGCCAGCTGCCGCCCCTGGCTGCCAGAGCAAAAAAAATCTCCGATGCACTCCTGTGCCAGGAGACCCAGGGGGAGAAGTGGCTGGGGAATCTGATGGAGGTGTGAGGTGAGGTTTGTGGTTTGTGGACTTGGGTGGGTACTCCTACAGAGCCAGGCGCCCTATTGCCCGCAGGAGCCAGACTGCAACGACTTGTACCGGCCAATTATGCGGATGGTGTGTACCAGGCTCTGGGGGAACCGCTGCTGCCCAACCCGCGCCTGCTCAGCAACGCCACCACTCAGGGTGCCGCGGGAAAGCCATCTGGCAGAAACTTCACGGTGCTAGGGGTTTTCTTCGGTAAGGGCAAAGTGGGGAAACCCTTGGTTTACCTGGCACTTAGCTCAGCGCCTTGGGAGAGTGACTGCAGGAGAGATCTCACTGCTCCTCCTCCCTCCAGCATTTTTTAGTCTTTTTTTTTTTTCTTCATTTCAAGGTATCTGGGGGTATTGGTTAAAGAATATTAGCTCCTCTAAATTTTCTTATTCCTTATTCCAAGTCCATGAGGCTGCTGGACCCTGTTATAGTTCTTAGGACCTGAATCACTTTCCTAGGTGATTAAAACATCTTTCTTGCAAAGAGAGGGGCAAGGCAGGATCCTTTAGGAGGGACAGAGTAGAGGGAGCCTTACATTAATTATATTATTTTGATTCTCACAATATTTAATTTTCACAACTTTATGAGATGGGGAGTAGGGAACTATCTCCTTACTTTGAAGATTAGAAAACAGTCGCAGAACTGGCGGTGGAGCTTTCCAGCTCAACCAACTGTCTAGACTTGCAGTCCACCCTGGTCGTGGGGATGGGCAGATCTCATCCGTTGCACCCCACGCCTCCAGGTTATCACTTACTCTCGGACTTGGTGAGTGTGGAGAGACCCGGCTGCCCTGCTGAGTTCCTCAACATCGAAATCCCACCTGGAGACCCCGTGTTCGACCCTGACGGGCGTGGGGACGTGGTCCTGCCCTTCCAGAGGAGCCGCTGGGACCCCCAGACTGGCCGGAGTCCAAACAACCCCCGGGACCTGGTGAGACAGGGCAGGCGGTGGTGCGTGGCAATGGATCCCAGGCAGTTGGCGCCCTGGGCTCCGTGGGGAGAAGCTACCTCCGCTCCCGACATCCACACAACCTTGACCCTGGGCGCCCTGTTTCCCTCCTCGGCTACAACCCCTTCCACCTGCCCACTTCTCCCCTGCAGACCAACGAGGTGACCGGCTGGCTGGACGGCAGCGCCATCTATGGCTCCTCGAACTCCTGGAGCGACGCGCTGCGCAGCTTCTCCAGGGGGCAGCTGGCGTCCGGGCCCGACCCCGCCTTCCCCCGGGAAGCGCAGGAGCCCCAGCTCATGTGGAACGCGCCCGACCCGGCCACGGGACAGCGCGGGCCGCGGGGGCTGTACGGTGAGGCGGCAGGGCGCTGGGGGCGGCAGGCAGGGCTCCCGGGAGGGCGAGCTGGGGTGGGGTGTGTGTGTGTGGCAGGGCTCCCCTGAATGCCACTGGCACTCATTCCCTGCCTGCGTCTCTGGTGGGACGCAGCGTTCGGGGCGGAGCGGGGGAACCGCGACCCCTTCCTGCAGGCGCTGGGTGTGGTGTGGTTTCGCTACCACAACTTGTGGGCTCAGAGGCTGGCCAGCCAGCACCCGGACTGGGGGGACGAGGAGCTGTTCCAGCATGCTCGAAAGAGGGTGATCGCCACATACCAGGTCAGTTATGTGCTCCCACACCCTCAATCCTGCTTCCTGGGGAACTCTGCTTCACCTCAGAGCCCTCCTCATTCTTGGACGGTGCCACCCAGAAACACCCTTTCCCAGAAGACACCCGTGCCCAGAGAGCTAATGTCTAGGAATAGATCCTGAAGATGATAAGGAGGCAGCATTCTGCTACAAGATTTTCTATTTGTGATTATTGTTAAGAGCCACACCCTCTTTCCTTGGGGACAGGGCTATATACTCCTCTCCTGCCGGGTCCTCATCTCCCACCTAAGCTTTCCTTGGGATTAGATTCTCTCTCCTGGTCTAATTGCTCCAATACTGGTCTCCCCTTTCTATTCTTTTGACCCTCAGAACATAGCCATGTATGAGTGGCTGCCCAGCTTCCTACAGACAACACCCCCAGAATATACAGGTGAGGGATTTGGGGGGACACCTGCATTGTGGGAAGGGTTGGTCGGACCCAGAGGGAAACAGATGGATATGATGGGAGAATGCAATGGTAAGGAGCCTATTTCTCTTATTACCTCATGGCAGGATATCATCCTTTCCTGGACCCCAGCATCTCCCCAGAGTTCCTGGCTGCCTCTGAGCAGTTCTTCTCCACCATGGTCCCTCCTGCCATCTACATGAGGTGAGGGAGCAGCTGATGATGATAAAGGCACACTGCAGTGATGAAAAATCAGGGGACTTTTATAAAACATCACAGTTTTATGGGGGTAATGAAACAGAATTTGGGACCCTGGAAACAGGACTCTGGGGTAGGTGGTTCAGCCCTGTCAGGGAAATCACCAAATTCTCCTAAAGGCTGAACTTCAGTTGCTGAGAACAGGATATATCCAGCAGCTAGTTCACTCTCTTCCCTCACCTCCCCACCTTTTATGGACAAAGAACACCCTCTATTTTTTAATTAATTCATTCCTTTATTAAACATTGCCCATATCCCATATTTAATGTTAAGATGAGATAGATACCATTAAAATACCTAGAATATAGGCAATGGACAAATAATAGTTTTCAAGTAACACATCTCCATCTGACATCATTTGTAGAAAAAAATGTAAATTACAAGTGTTTATTTTCAATCTGAATTAGCTATTTATTGAAAAACTCTATTTACCTGTTCTTAGAATTTTGTGAGATTCATACAAGTACAAATCATAATTTATTTTAGTAACTGAAACCTCAAACTGAGTACATATACATTCGATAGTAAGTTGTAAAAGTTTTAGATTATATTTCAAAAAGGAAGATGTAGAAAGTATAAAGACATTTAATTCCTGTAATGCAGTACAGAGTTGCAATTGTAATTACCTATTGACACCATGATAAATTTAGAGTTCAAATAAGTATCTGTTGTCTCCCCTCACAAATGAGTTCAACCATTGATTCTTCAAATGCCTATCATATTTTTAAAATAATATAATAGTTTATTTTTTATTTTGGAGCACCCTCTATTTTTAATCCACACAGGTTGCCAAATCTCTGCTCTCTTCAAGGAAATTCAGGGGCTGCCCCAGACCTGGCCAGTCCCTTTTGTGTCCCTCACCCCACTTAGCCCATTTCAGTTTCTTCCTTGAATTCCCTTACCAATTCTTTGATTTTTTATTTCAGAAATGCCAGCTGTCATTTTCAGAAGGTCCTGCACAAGGGATTTGACAGCTCCTCAGTTCTCAGGGTCTGCAACAGTTACTGGACTCGGGAGGTCAGTCTGGAGTCATAGTCAGGGTCATGGGCAAAAGTCAGTCTTGTCACACAGACTGGAGAACAGCAATTCTCCAGTTACTGTTTCATGGTGATTGGAGATGAACTGGTAGAATGTTCTCGAAAGTTATCTGGAGTGAATAGCTCAAGAGAGTCTAGGATTGGCCATAGGACCTTTTGAATGTTACAGGACGCAGGCCAAGAGGCAAAGCATCTTGAATGTGTTGTTTACTTCCAGAACCCTAATCTGAACAGTTCCCAGAGAGTGACTAACTTGCTGCTGGGGATGGCCTCACAGATTTCGGAGCTGGAGGACAGGATAGTTGTTGAAGATCTGAGGGGTAAGTTCTGGAATTGGAGGGGATGTGAACACAGAGGCTGGGAGCCTGGGGTCCTTCTGGGGCTGATCAACAGATGGACCATGGATGCCAGCAGTGCAGGAACACAGATGCATACATTGCAAATAGCCTTGGAGGAAAATGAAATTTGAACTACTTTTTTATGTGACTAACAAGTTTAGTGTTGCTGTTTTTCCACAATTTCTTTGTTGCTTCGGTTTCTAAAGGGTTTTATTCAGCTCTATCTTGAGGTTAAGGAAGAAAAGCACAGAGCATTTACAACTTAGTACCGCTGATTACACACAGAAACATTGGCTCCACACCAAGGCAAGGTTGAGGAGTGCTGGAGGTGGGAGGGCCAACAGTCCCTTTCAAGGCTTCTGAACAAAGAAGGTTGGGGGTACCAAGGCTATAGCCTGCTCCCCTCTGCTTAGATTACTGGCCTGGCCCTGGCAAGTTCTCACGCACTGACTACGTGGCCAGCAGCATCCAACGTGGCCGAGATATGGGGCTGCCCAGCTATATCCAAGCCTTACAGACTTTGAAGCTGAAGACCCCCAAGAACTGGACTGAACTCAACCCAGAAGTGGAATCCCAGGTCAGAAATACTAATGATAATAACAGTTGAAGCTTTCTTATAACCAAATCCTTTACATATAAACCCATTTATTCTATGTTAAGAATGTTATAATGTTGATGCTATCATTACCCCATGTTACCAATGATATAGTTGGCATGTCAGTTGTACAGACAAGATTTAAATTCATCCATCTGACTCCAGAATATGTTCATTACCACTACATTGTATTATTCATGCAAGAGGGCCCTTGGCCTGGGAGCCATTGTCCTATTCCTGCAGGGTCCTTTTCCATGAACTTGGTGACCTTGAAGCTGCTAATCATCAGAGTCAGGCAGTCTAGGTAGAGATGGTCACAGGATATGGTCTTCAGGCACCTGACAGTAGACTCATCATAGACAGGGGTACACTGGTCCTCCCACCACATTTGCCACCACAGGAGGGGGCTGCTTAAGAAAAGGAGACACCCTTGGGCCCTCCGTGGTGGTGAAATGGGTTAAAACACAGTATTCCAAAGCTGGTCGTAGCCACTTCAGCATGAGTTCGATCCTTGGTCACAGAGGTGATCCACATGGCACAGCAGACCTCTCCTGTCTCACCCATTTTTCCCCTCAGCAATGTACTTCGTCAATCTGCCTGTTCTGCTCCCCACTCTGTTACTAGTGAATCTTCTCATCACCTCTGGCCTATACCCTAGTTCTGTAGGCACGAATAAATAATTATTTAAAAAAATAAAGGAGATGCCCTCAGGTCAGACAGACAGCTGCTTGGGTTTTGCCAGGTAACACTGGTTTTCCTCCCTGGAAAACATACACACACACACCCATCATCTCACGTCCTATGCTGCTTTAGGTGCTGGAAACCATAGCTGCCTTGTACAACCAGGACCTGTCTAGGCTAGAGCTACTCCCTGGAGGGCTCCTGGAGAGCTATGGGAGCTCTGGACCTCTCTTTAGCACCATTGTTCTTGACCAGTTTGTGCGGCTGCGGAATGGAGACCGATACTGGTTTGAGAACACCAGGAATGGGTAAGGCCGGCCTGGCCCTCCACCTCAGACTCCACTTCAACCTGGGCCCCAGACCCTCTGCCTGTCATCAGTCCCCATGGACCCTGAATTCCCAAATGGCCCCACCCACCTGGGTCTCTTTTCTCACCTTGGGCCTGAGGTTGCTGGAGCCTGTACCCCCTTCCCATCCCAATGATTCTTGGCTTTTTCCAACTTAGGCTGTTCTCCATGGAGGAAATTGCAAAAATTAGAAACACGACTCTGAGGGATGTGCTTGTGGATGTCACCAATGTGGACCCCAGTGCCCTGCAGCCCAATGTCTTTGTCTGGGAAGAAGGTGGGTGGGTAACCGAGGAGCGCAAAAGTGATGGCAGCCAGAGATAGGACCAAGACTTGGTGGGGGCAAGAGGAGGGGACCATGTGGTGCTGTCCATAGAGCCAGGTGACAGGCAGTCCTTCTGTATTAGACCTTTTGAGGTAACCAAGTTCTAGGAAGCAGGCCTAGAGAAGGAGGAGGATATCCGGCGCTTCCCAGGAGAGATGGGAGGGCTGCTTGGCCAAAGGATGGAGGAGTGGCATCTTCAGGCATTGAGTTCTTCTGTGTCCCCTCCCTCAGGTGCACCCTGCCCTCAGCCTCAGCAGCTCACACTGGAAGGCTTGCCTCCTTGTGCACCTCTGACCGTGCTTGACTATTTTGAGGGCAGCGGTCCAGGTTTTGGTTTCTCCATCGTGGCTCTCTGCTGTTTTCCACTAGGTGAGCTTTTTGTACTCTCTCTTAACTCTCTTCTGGCTGCCTCGCTCCCCACAGGCCATCTCTGCCTCCTCATTATCTGTGAACCTGCAACAGCAGCTTCTTGGTACAGTTGAAGCCAGGCTCAGGGGAACTTGGGAAGGGAGGGGCAGCAGGCTAAGTCTCAGTGAAAGGCTTCCCCTCTCTCCCTGCCACCGCCATTTTCTTACCCCCTACAGTGAGTCTGCTCATCTCCTGGATAGTGGCCCGTTACAGGCATCGAGAGCTCAAGAAGCTACATAAGAAAGACAGAGACAGTGTGAAGAAGGAGTCAGTCAAAGATGGAGTGCCAGGTAAGGTGGGACTCAGGGGAGGGAGAGAGAGGAAGCAGATGGATCCTGGGGAAAGGAATGAGGTTATATATTCAGGGAGAAAGCCGGGATTCAGGGCGCATGTTCTGATTGGTAGAGTGGAATTGGCCTGAGGGCAGAGCCCAAGCACCTGCTTAACTATCTTTCCTTCTCCAGCAATGGAATGGCCAGGCCCTAGGGAGAGTAGCTATCCAGTCACCATCCAGCTGCTCTCAGACATGAGTCTGAAGGTCCTGGACAGCCGTCACTCTGTGCTCCGCACTGTGCAGCTGCGGCCCCCACAGCAGATTAATCTCATCTTGTCTAGCAACTGTGGACGTCGCACCCTGCTGCTCAAGATCCCCAAGGAGTATGACCTGGTACAGCCCAGCTGGACTCCCCCTGCCCGGCTGCCCTCGCATTTTCTCTCACAGCGAGTCCCCTGAGGTCACCTCTGCTCAGAGATATAGCACAACTGGGAAAGCTAATGCTGGGGAGAAGCACTCCTTTCAAAGGTCCCAGACTCAACCTGAGCCTCCTTCTGACCACTCGCCTGGCCCCACCTGCATGGCTGGGGGCACCTTTTCTTTCCCGACCCCAGGTCCTTTGAGGACAGGCTGAAGCTAGAAGCCAGAGTGCCAAGCATTGTCGTGGCCTTCTTCCCTCACAGGTGCTGCTGTTTAACTCTGAGGAGGAGCGAGAGACTCTCGTGAAGCGTCTGCAGGACTTGTGTGTGTCCCAGGCACTGGATCTCAGTGTGACTGAGATGTATGAGCAGGAACTCTTCAGGAAGGCTGTGACCAAGCAGCAACGGGGCTGCATCCTGGAGGTCTTCTTCAGACACCTTTTTGCCCAGGTGCCTTGGCTGTGCCTCTGAGAGATGGGATAGAGCCCAGATCTGGGTTGAGGGGAACCCGGCAGGACAGGACCCTATGTGAACTAATCTTCACATCTGTAGATCAGAGACAGCCTTGGTTGAGCCCTGGCTGAGCCACTCCCATCTCTGCTCTGTCTGCTTCCTCACCGATAGGACAGTGGTTAACATAGGATCCGTCTCCTTGGCTTGTGAAGGTTCAGGGAGATCCTCTGCACCAACAGTTCTCAGAATGTATCCCCTGTACCCACACAGTAGGCCTCTCCAGGGGACAAGTTAGAAATGCAAATTCAGGTCCCTCTGCCTATGTAATGAATTGGGAACTCTGGGATTAGGGCTGTGACTCATTCTAAAGTTTGAAAAATCAGTGTGTAGCCCAAGTGATATATCCTATAGAGCTGTGTGTATAGTTACATGTGTATGACTTTTAAATTCTTTACACAAGGAACAAAGACCAAGTCACCTTTATGCATAGCCTGCATAAATTGACAAGAGAACATGTCCCTTGCCTCTTCCTGCCTGTCCACTCATGTCATCTGTATCTTCTGTCCCCAGGGTATGCTTTCTCCCTAAGTTTGCACTCCCAAACTTTGCCTGCCCCATGCCCACCCTTTTCCCTCCCCAGACCCAGCACCATTCCTTCTGTAGGGAAACTCCTGGCTTGTGGGCCCAGAGAGAATGAGCCAGTGGTTTGAGATTGCTGAACCCCCAAGTCAGAAATATACCTAAGGACTAGGAACATTCACTAGGGCTCATCCTTTCTGAGTTGAACTTCGGGGAGATGTGAAGAGTCACCAACCTGCTTCCAGCCCAGTTATTGCCTCCTTCTCTCCTCCCTTATCCATCCCCTTCCCCCGACTGCAGGTGCTGGACATCGACCAGGCAGATGCAGGGACCCTGCCCCTGGACTCATCACAGAAGGTGCAGGAGGCTCTGATGTGCGAACTGAGCAGAGTCGAATTTGCTGAGTCCCTGGGCCTCAAGCCCCAGGACATGTTTGTAGAATCCATGTTCTCTCTGGCTGACAAAGATGGCAATGGCTACCTGTCCTTCCGGGAGTTCCTGGACATCCTGGTGGTCTTCATGAAAGGTAATGGAAGGTGGGCCAGTAGCCCTGGTACCAGGTATCTTTCAGTGGAGAGGTGACCTGCTCCCCCCTTTCTCTTGCCAGGCTCCCCAGAGGACAAGACCCGCTTGATGTTCACCATGTATGACATTGATAAGAATGGCTTCCTCTCCAAATCTGAGTTCTTCACCATGATGCGGTAAAGGCGGTAGTGTGTGTGTGTGCGCGTGTGTGTGTATGTGTGTGTGTGTGTTTCCAATTCTGAGACTTCCTGATGCCTTAAACAGGAAAACAAGTCAGGTCTTACACAGTGACTCTTCCAGTATCAATCACTGTGACAACTGGGAGGATAAACACAGACATTTCCTCTATATTCCAATCCTTCTGCCCTCCTGCTTTTTAATCGAATAATCACATTTCTGCTTGTAGTGTTCCAATAAAGACCACGTTGAGCTAATACCCTCCTTATTCCTGAAGACACTACTCCAGTGCCTTTGGTTCCCTGGGGACAGGGCTGATATCTTGCTTGATTCCCTCTGAACCCATCCCCTCTCCACACTATTTTGGGACACAGCAGACACCTGATACTTACTTACATGAGTAAGATGGGATAAAAGAGTAAATGAGTCAAGAGTATACATAAAACAGCCCAGGTTCTTTTAACTTCTGTCAACCTTTAGTTTTTATTCACTTTCTGTTTTCCATCTCTCTCTTACAGTCCAGATACTATAGCTGAGCATGTATTTCTAAAGGCTCTAGGGTGAAGCCAACTGCAGTCCAACTGCCAGGTGTCCCATAACAGGCCCAGCCCTGGCAGGATTCTACGGTATCTGGGGGAGGTTCCTTGCCAACCTCCCTCCCCCAAACCCACAGCTGAGCTCCCACCTTCTTGTCTTGTCAGTGTGGGCCTTACTTAGCCTCAGTGGGATGATAGTTTTTTCAATGTGATAGTAATGCTTGCTGAACCTTGCAGGTCTTTTCTGCTAGACTCACACAAACTTTCACGGTCTTTTTTTTTTTTTTTGGTCCAAAAGCACAGCCTAAGAAAAGAGTATGTTCATCACAGCTGTCACTCTGGGTGCTATTAGATTGGGTGTGGCGTCACTCCTACCTGTGCCTTGGCTTGCTGGCATGAAGACTGGCAGCCATTGTAGCTATACCTCCCTCCTGGTTGTGCCCACAATAGACCATAAAGGGGGGAGCCCAGGGGTGGTGTGGGAGGTACTGAGAGAAGAGAGCAGGCGGAGAGTCTGCCACGCAAGAGAGAGCTGGATGTATCCCTATTTAAGCAAGTTTTTTTTTTCTTATAATAGTTTATTTTTACATCATTTTGTGCCTTTTTCCATCTCAGTTGTAATCCCCATGGGCTTCCCATCACCAAATCACCCATGTGCCATCACCATAGTGCAGTGCACTTCCCCTCCGCCCCTCATTTTTGATCCCATTCCTGACTCCACCCCCGTAAAATGCCTCTGGTATATAGTTGTTCATTATTATTATTTTTTTAATTTAAGCAACTTTTATCCCTGCGATCGGTGCTCCCTCCCCTCCCACCCCGCCCCAGTTTGAGGGTAATTTTCTCTAATTGTCTAAGGTCACTTTCATTTTTGTTCTGCCTTTAAACCTGTGGTCATCCTGCCCAGTTTATTGTCAGCTGCAGTCTGGAGGAGCACCTTCCTGGGGCCATGTCCTGGATTGCTGATAATCGGGGGCTGTCCCATCCTGCCCCTACCTGAGACTGACCTTGCCAGGTGACAGGTTGCTCTGCCTCTTGTCCTCCCCCAGTTCCTTCATCGAGATCTCCAACAACTGCCTATCCAAGGACCAGCTGACCGAGGTGGTGGAAACCATGTTCCAGGATTCTGGCTTCCAGGACAAGGAGGAGCTGACTTGGGAGAACTTCCACTCAATGCTACGGGACCATGAAGAATTGCTCAACAGCCTACATCTCTGTGTCAGGGGTGGAGGTGTGTGAGTTATGAAGGGTCAGAGTCAAGGAGGGACTATCTTCAGAATGAGAGTTCCTGGTGGGTAGGATTTAGCTCAGGTCTTATTTTTCTTAGTCTTCAATGCCCAGTACAGAGCCAGATATTTGTAATCGAGAGGGTCACATATGACTGGGTAATTTGTACACTGCACAAAGACGCCCAGTGAGAGTCAAGGGATGGAGTGAGGTCCAACTACAAGCCATGCTCATAGGTCTGGGTTTATCTATCTAGAGGAAGAGACACTTTTTTTTTACACAAAGGAGATTCGGGGTAGCTACCCCATAGAGCGAGTCATCTTTCCTAATGGCACAGAGTCATCACATTGCCTGCCTGTGGCTGCCCTATGCACAGTGGGTATTGGGCAGAGAAGAGAGCAAGGCTAGAACAACAGCTGGACATGACCAAGTCACTTCCTGCAGGGGTAGGGGACAGAGAGATGTCACCCCCCATTGTGGGGAGGCTGTCCAACTTCTTGTTCTTCTCTCCAGGTGTTAGAGACATCTTTAAACCAAATATCAGCTCTCGAGTCTCATTCATCTGTCGGACTTCAGGAAAATGGTGAGCAAGAATGGGTGTCCCCTTGCTAGGTTCCATTCAGAGAAATGAACAAAGTAGAGTGGACTGAGTCAGCCGCTGGATCAGACATCTGCCCTCTGAAAGTAACTCTCAGAGCGTGCTTGGTGCTAGCCTCGACTCCAGCTGTCTCCCCACCTTGGCTCTGTGCCACTCCAGGACAGAATCACTCTCCAACCCATTTACAAATCATAATCATTTGTTTTGATTTGCCTCCTCACAGCTTCTCTCTGACCAGTTTCACAGGCTGGTTCTGTGGGTAGGGCTGGACACTGGGATCTATCCCACCCCCATGCCAAGCTCTGACCTGATGGTTCTTTTCTTGCTGAAAGACAAGAGGAAAATAACCCCCCCTTTTCATTTTCTCAGCTCCTGCACTCATACACTGGGGTCCCCTGCCTCAGAGACCTCAGAGTCGGGAGGTTCTGGCCTAAAGAAGAGGTTTGGCAAAAAGTGAGTATTTCCCAGATCCCCTGCCTTGACATCCAAGGGAACATACTGAGTCTTGTTCCATCTGCCCCTGACCTGACTGGAAGGTAGAGTCAAATGGTTCTTCAACCTTTTCCTACCTCTGTACCCTAATCTCAGCCAACAGGCCTGGCATTCAGATGCAACAATAAGATGGCAGCAAGGGAGTCAAGGAACAGTACAAGAAAGGACAGGAAGTGGAGTAGTGGGGAGATGGAAGAGCAGGTTGATGGACGAAATAAATAGGAGGGGTAAAGGTTTAGGGGAGTCTGCCCCCCAAATAACTTTTCCTCCATCCGTGTGACCAACCCTGACCCTGCCAGGTCACCAGATCTTCACAGGTTGACATTCAGGGGAGCCCAGGGTGACTGAAAGGGAACCCCTTGCTGACTCCATGGCCACCCCATCTCTCATTGCTGTAGGTTAGCGAAAACCTCTCCCCAACTATACACGGAGGCACTGCAGGAGAAGATGCAGCGGGGCTTCCTGGCCCAGAAGGTGCAGCAGTACAAGCGCTTTGTGGAGAACTACCGGAGGCACATCATGTGCACCGCCGTCTTCGCAGCCATCTGTGCAGGCCTGTTTGCAGAGCGCGCTTACTGTAAGAGTTCCAGGGTGTGGGCAGGAGGGGGGAGCACAGAAAGCCCTCTGCTTGCTCTTCCTGTTCTTTCGCGTGTAGATGGGGGCAACTCAGGCATTCCAACCTAGACTCGGGACCCCACCCTCGTGCTGCGCTGATCTTCCCCCGACTCATCCCCAGACTATGGCTTTGCCTCACCACCCTCGGGCATAGCGGAGACCACCTTTGTGGGCATCATCCTGTCGAGGGGCACTGCGGCCAGCATCTCCTTCATGTTCTCCTACATCCTGCTCACCATGTGCCGAAACCTCATCACCTTCCTGCGAGAGACCTTCCTCAACCGCTACGTGCCCTTTGACGCCGCCGTGGACTTCCACCGATGGATCGCCATGGCTGCAGTTGTCTTGGCCAGTATGTGGCTTCCGGGCATCCTTGCCATCGCTACAGCCTCTTGTGGGGAAACAGTGAGGAGACTGGAACTTCACCTACTTCCATTTCTCCTCCCTGTGCCTCCCCTCTCCATCAGGGTCAGACTTGGCCTTGTGTGGCATCTCTAACCCAGTCTGTCTCTTTCAGTTTTGCACAGTGCTGGTCACTTGGTCAATGTCTACGTCTTCTCAGTCAGCCCCCTCAGCGTGCTGGCCTGCCTCTTCCCCAACACCTTTGTGAATGATGGGTCAGTTCTGGGATGGGTTTCCCTCAGAACACCTGGCTAAGATTGTAATAGAAAAGAAATGATAACCCTAGACATTCCACTCTCTCACTGAGTGAGAGTGAGAAGTTAGCCCACTTGGGGAAATTGAGAGGTGACTTCCTTACCCTCAGGACAGAAGCTGCTGTGACTGGCCTGTAATTGACCAGAAAAGGATTTTGGGAGATGAAGTTGGAGATTCTTTTTCACATGTACCTGGCACACAGTTTGCCATCTCAGCCTACCATGCATTTACTGGTCAAAAGTTTATGGAGCACATCTTATGTGTCCATCCAAGTGTGAAGAGTAGGGATGTTAACATGCATAGTCATTCAACGATTATGTGTTGAGTATGACGTGCCAGGCATTGTTTAAGCATAGAGATAGGGTAGTGAGCAAAACATACACCCTGCCCTCACACAGCTTACAGAAAATGAACCAAGTGCTCAAGGAAGCAAAGGTCAGTTGCCTGCAGAGAATTCAGAATGAGGAAGAATTGCTGAGTGAGCAGAGTGAAATCGTGGGAGGGTGGGTACCATATTTCTTGGAACAATCTTTGACCCTCTGAGTAGAGACCCAGAAGCCATAGCAGTCAGGGCTGCAGGAACAGGTCACAATGACCCAGAGTTGGATCCCTTTCTACATCAGCCAGAGTTTTCACGTGCCTTTGTCCCACAGGTCCAAACTTCCCCAGAAGTTCTCCTGGTGGTTCTTCCAGACTGTCCCAGGTAGGGAGTGGGATTGTTGGGTTCTGTCTGAGAACCTCTGCTTTTGTCTTCATCTTTCCATGAATACACACTTGTCTAGAGTGGCCATAATTTCTCTTTCTAGTTTCTGGGACAAGCCCCATCTCCATCTTCTTCAAGCAAGCTGCTCTGGGGGCCAGGGAGGACAGAAAGTAGTCAGGGAGGAGGGAAGTGATGATCCATTGTGTTCTCAGCCCAGGCTGAGATCCTGAGAGGACTTTCTGACTCTGTCCCCCATGCCTTTAGGTCTGACAGGGGTGCTTCTGCTCCTGGTTCTGGCCATCATGTATGTCTTTGCTTCTCAATACTTCCGGCGTCGCAGTTTCCAGGGCTTCTGGCTGACCCACCACCTCTACATCCTACTCTATATCCTGGTAAGGGGTTTCTCTGGGAAGTGCTGATTCACAGGGCAGGCATGAGCATTCATAATACAGAGAAGAGGCAAGCTGAATTAGATACAAGATCTCAGATTGAGAACCTGAAACCTAAGGCTCCCGACTCTGAAACTTATGCTAGCCCTATCTACCAAGCCCAAGTCCAAACACAGGCAGAAAGTGACTGGGCAAGGGGGTTGCAGGAAGTGAACAATGCTTGGCCTGAGCTCTACTAACTGGTCTTGTCTCCAGACCATCATCCATGGAAGCTTAGGAATGGTGCAGCTGCCCCGTTTCCACATCTACTTCCTGGTCCCGGCGCTAATCTATTTGGGAGACAAGCTGGTGAGCCTGAGCCGAAAGAAGGTGGAGATCAGCGTGTTTGAGGCAGAACTGCTGCCTTCAGGTATCAGGCTCAACCTGACCCTGGATGGGAAGCTCTGGAAGTCAATTTATGGGACATGGGGAAGTAGCTCCCTGGGTCTCCTGACCCCACCTCTGTGTCTAATATCCTCTCTGGGACCCCTGCATCTTTTCTGACAATAACTGCAGCTCCAGAAAAGGCCATGCTTAACCTCCAAGAGTACTTACTGACTCTGAGAAGTGACTAAGAGGTGCCTAAGTCACATAGAGGACAAGAAAGATTCCTCTGTGTGTGGATTAGGTACACACAGGCCCCTCTCTCGATCCCTCTGTCTCAGAGACAAATAAATGGCCCAGCTGGTGGGAATCTGTTGTGGAGAGTCATGTTGATTCACATCACCATATGGGGTGATGGGTGATGAATTTAAGGTGTTGTAGGACCCCCCCTCTCACCTTCAGGTTTTACATAATGAAAAAAGTAATCTCAATGCAATTGTATTTCAATCGCACTCATTTAAAGACAAAGTTTCAGTGCAGTGTTAGGATGCCTTTTGTACTGTCCAGCACAAGTGAATCTCCCTTATCAACAAAGAAAGACAGGTCTGAGGCTCACCTAGGGTGAGGCAACAGTGTCCAGGTAAAATTTGATAACAAAATGCCTTCTACTTAGAACACTTGATACTGATGTTCTACTGAAAGTTTATTGTCAAACTAAATCAAGTTGAAAGAGTCAGTCAATTGAAAGAAAGCAAACCTGAGGTCTCCTGGCCTAGTAGGCTATTATTCATGGTAGTGGTTACAAACCTGGGTCATTCCTGGGAAGAGGGAGCAGAGAAGAAGAAGCTGGAACAGAGACACCAAGAAGCCCAGTTCCCAGGTTGCCCAGACAACAGAGAAGTGACCTCCAACTCCCAGCCCCAGAGCCCCACTTGCTCAAACCACATGACCATTCCTTGTTCCTTGGGTGTGTGGAGATGACAGGGTACCCGCCAGTCCCCAGGTGCCAGGAGAAAGCTTTCTGATCTCTGCCTTCCCTGCTGATGACCCCCAGGAGTGACCCACTTGCGGTTCCAGCGACCCCAAGGCTTTGAATACAAGTCAGGACAGTGGGTGCGGATTGCCTGCCTGGCTCTGGGGACCAACGAGTACCATCCCTTCACACTGACTTCTGCACCCCATGAAGACACACTCAGCCTGCACATCCGGGCAGTGGGGCCCTGGACCATTCGCCTCAGAGAGATCTACTCACACCCGACAAGCAACGGTGTTGCCAGATACCCAAAGGTGCCCTTCTCTGTAAAGGATATTGGTGGGCAGTCTCTGACCTTGCCTACCCTATGACTAGAAATCCAGCTGGGAGAGTACTGAGATGCCTCATAAAAGGATAGGGTGTTCCCATATCTTTCCTCTTCTTTTTGCCTCCTCCCAAACCCCCCTTTAACTTCAGAGCCAGAATATGGTCAATCTAATCTCATCTTCCATTTCTATTGGCAGCTGTACCTTGATGGACCATTTGGAGAGGGCCATCAGGAGTGGCATAAATTTGAGGTGTCAGTACTGGTGGGAGGGGGCATTGGGGTCACCCCCTTTGCCTCGATCCTTAAAGACCTGGTCTTCAAGTCATCCTTCGGCAGCCGAATGCTTAAAAAGTGTAAAAAAGTGAGTGTCTGTAAAAAAGTGTCTCTCCCATCCTTTGAAGGATCAGAGATAGACAGCCTGATTGTGTCCCCGCATCACAGCAGAGAAGCATCAGAAAAAGCCATTGGTACTTCGGTACTGGGTCTGCCAGGACCATTTGTGCCTATTTGTCAAGTGCTTGAGGGAGGATCAGAGGTGTAACCAGAAGGGCCTTTGCTGAGATCTTTTGGGTAGAGTCTTAGGTCAAGCTTGTGGTTCCTACCAGAGGTTTGGTGTCATGGGTGGTCTGGGACTTCCCAGTCCCCCAAGTGAAGGAATATAGGGTAAAGGAATCTTGAACTGAACTGAGTCCTGATCTCTGGCATGTGTCCCTGTCCCCAGATCTACTTCATTTGGGTGACACGGACCCAGCGGCAGTTCGAGTGGCTGGCTGACATCATCCGAGAGGTGGAGGAGAATGACCACCAGGACCTGGTGTCAGTGCACATCTATATCACTCAGCTGGCAGAGAAGTTTGACCTCAGGACCACCATGGTGGTATGTCAGGGTCAGCCAGGCCAGGCAGGTGGGCCACCATCTACACTAGAAGCTAACTTGGTCCTATCTCACTCTGACCTTCCTGTTCCACTCTTTCCCCCAGTACATCTGTGAGCGGCACTTCCAGAAGGTACAGAACCGGAGTCTGTTCACAGGTCTGCGTTCTGTCACCCACTTTGGCCGCCCCCCCTTTGAGCCCTTCTTCAACTCTCTGCAGGAGATTCATCCACAGGTTAGTTCCATCTCAGCCTTCCAGAGACTCTGCCTTCTCCAGCCAGGATATGCGGGCCTTCAAACACCCTACAGTTCTATCCTGAGCAAAGATTCCCCAACCTCGGCCCAAAGCAGGGGCCATGTATTAGAGAAGGTCTTCAAGCCCCTCTCCTACAGCTGTCTCTAGCTCAAGCCTCCTCCTCAGGTCTGGGGTGGAGGCCCAGGCCCAGGAAATTCCAGTTAGACTTGAGAATCAGCTTCCTCCTGGGAGTGAGCATCTCAAGCCTGCAAGTGACTTCTCTCTGAAACCACTCCCATTTGACAGGTGCGGAAGATCGGGGTGTTCAGCTGTGGCCCTCCAGGGATGACCAAGAATGTAGAGAAGGCCTGTCAACACATTAACAGGCAGGACCGAGCCCAGTTCATTCACCACTATGAGAACTTCTGAGCCAGCACTCCCTGTCTCCAGCTTGCTATCTGTGGAGCAGCTCTCTGTCAGAATCTGCCTAGAGCCTCAGCTAGAGAGCTGGAAGAGCATTTCCCTCAATGGCCAACCTGACCCGGGTTCTGAGAAAGTAGAGAAGTCCCAGGAGAGAGTAGAGATACCTGATATGAAGACAGAGCTCAGACCAACAATCTCAAAGCCCTATTCAGAAGCAATGTGATTCTTAAAACCTGAACAGCCCAACTGCCTTGGCCCAGTCTCCGAAGGCTTTCCCCTCCAATTCCAATGCACCCTCATCACACACATTCTTTCTACTCAGGAACCCTGAAGAGTAAACAGGGAGTAAAGATGCTTCCTTAGCCCTGATGTGCCTGTTGTCAGCCAGCAATGCCCACTGACTGATCTTTTGGCAGACCTCTGAATTTACTGGAGCAGCCCCTAGACTAGATTCTGAGACCAGGTGGGGTCTCTGCTCTCAGCCTCTGTCAAACATCCAAAACTCCCTCTCAGTTTCCTACTACTACAGAAGTTGGGTGACCAGCTGTCCTAGTTAACCCTGGCCACTCCCAGTTTTAAAGAGACTTAAAGTCTCTTGTCCTAAAAGACCCTTCAATCAAATCAGAACAGTTGGTTTTTTCACCAGGTGCCAGTCTGTAATGTTGCTTCCATTCTTGAGTTTTTGTGATTCTTACTTTTGTTTTTTCAAATGACTCTTAAAAAGCTGATCTTTAATTTTTTTCTAATTTTATATATGGTTTGCCCACAAACCTTACTAGGTAGATGTGTTACCACTACCCAAGTCAATAGCTCCATCATTTTGGAAATATCCCTTGCTCCCCTTCTAGTTAGTCTTCCCTACCTCCTAGAAGCAACTACTGATGTTATTAGTGGATTAAGTTGGTTATGCTGAAGTCATGTTCTTGAGACTGACTTCTTTCACCTAGCATAATGTCTTTGTCATTCATTCATGTTTCTTTTGTTGTTAAGTTGTATTCCACTGTAGAGATGTACCAGTTTATACATTGTCTCTTGATGAACATTCCAGTTATATCTATTTTTTTAATAATTATGAATAAAGCTGCTATGAACTTTCTTATACCTGTCTTTTGGTGGACATAATGCATTATTACTCTTGGCTATATTTCTTTTTTTTTTTTTTAAAGATTCATGCACACCAAACTGGGGTACAGGCCAGAGGTTCAGGGGCGGTGAGGGGGTTCACCAAAGATAGAGTGGGGAGCAAAACAGGCAGATTGACAAAGTACACTGTTGATGGGAGCAGTGGGCAAGACAGGAGAGGTCTGCTGAGCCATGTGGGTCACTTCCCTGGCCTGGGATCAAATTTGTGCTGAAGGGGCTGCTGCTAGTTTGTAGTGCTGTGCTTTAACCCATTGCTCCACCAGGGAGGGTCCATCTTGGATATATTTCTGAGGATGATGTTATAGTGTTCTTTGCCCAATAGGACCTATGGCAGGGAGAGTTTCAAGCCAACTCTACCCCTACCCTGGGCTCCTTTCCTCATTGGTCCTGCTCTACCTCTCTTCTGACAGGACTAGAAAGATTCTGGATCAGAAGGCAAGAGAGTTAAGCCTAGTGCAACTTTACCCCTAAAGAGCTACAAAAAAAACAAAAAACAAAAAAAACATTTACTTCCCTGAGTACATTTCGTGGTGTATTAAAATGTCTGTGTGCATAAAAGAGAGTCAGATGAAATTGGCCCCCAATATAGACAGGTGAGAAAACACATGAGAATATATTATATGTTTACAGTATTTGATGATTCATAATCCACTTATTTATTAACATCATCATGCTTCCAAACTCCTGCTTTTCTCCAGTTAATATTGGACTCCAGCCCCTTAGCTTTATTCCCAAACCTGACCCATCAGTACCTTCCTTATCGCTTTCCAAAGATCATTCAAAATATGTATCTTTCTTATTCTAATATACCTATCCTCGCTAAACTAGAGAACATGTTTATTTTTCAAAAAGATTTATTTATTTATGCATACAGAACTGGAGTGCAGGGGTGGTGAGAGAATTCACCAGAGACAGAGTGGGGAGCAGAAGAGGCAGATTGATGAAGTACACTGCTGAGGGGAGCAGTGGGTGAAATAGGAGAGGTCTGCTGTGCCATGTGGGTCACCTCCCTGGCCTGGGATAGAACTTGAGCTGGAGTAGCTGTGGGTAGTTTCATAGTGCTGGGCTTTACCCCTTTGCACCACCATGAAGGGCCCCAACAAGAGAACATTATTAACAGAGCTTTCATAATTATTAATACCCTCTCCTTAGCCCTGCCCTTCCTACCATGCTAAGACCAAGTGGGGGCTTTCTGAAGACTCTTTTCCAGCATCCACTCTTGTCCCCAAACAATACCAAGTAAATATCCAACAGGAAGGAGCCGCACATCTTCATGTAGCCTCAAGTAGCACTGCCAATCCTCTGTCGTACCTTCTAGATGTCAGCCCTTGGCACGTACTCATGTTACATGCTGCTCTAATCATGCCCAGATTCCTGGGAATTCACTTATTGCAGGGATAAAGGTCAAGAACTTGTGGAGAGGATAGAAGTATCTTCAGCCCAAACATTTCTCTGGACTCTCAACTGGCCACACCCTTCCTACGACTTTGTGACCAGGTCTCTTTGGGTGGTAAATTGGAAGACAGAAGCAAGCAGACATAAAGAGTTCTGCCTTAGGGTTGAGAAAATGAGGTCATTGACTATAAAACTGGGTGTATGGGAGAAAGTCTGCTCTGGAAAACATATAAACAAGAGAGACTACAAAAATGACCCAGAGAAAGAAGACTGGGAAAGGATTACTCAGAGGAAAGTCATGACAGTATAAAAGAATGCAAATCTTCTCTACCTCAGATCACAGCTGTTGGTCTCAGGCCTTGGGATAAAACCCTGAACCTTGACTCACATTAACAGGGATGAGCTGACAACAAACCAAGGGTAGAGACGAATTGGGTGGAATTGGGTGGTGATTATTTGAGGGATTGTGAAGGAGGAAGAATGATAGGAAGAATGATTGGAAGGGAATGGAGAAGTACAGACTTTCTACCCACTTGTTAAGACTTTTGAATAAGAACCATCAATCTAGCATAATAATTAAACATAAGGATTCTTGGGCCTCCCTGACTCCCTGGTGGCACAACGGGTGAAAACTCAGCACTATGAAGCTGAGTTTCCTACAGCCACTGCAGGACAAGTTTGATTCCTGGCCAGGAGGTGACACCCATGTGGTATGGCAGAATGCTCCTGACCTGCCCACTGCTCCCCTCAGCAATGTGTTTTAGTCTATCTGCCTGTTCTGCTCCCCACTCTGCCTCTGGTGAATCCTCTTACCCCACCCATGCCTCTGTCCTGTACCCCAGTTCTGTGTGTATAAATAAATATTTAAAATAAAATAAAGATTCTTAAGTTATATTGGGGCTGGGTCCCAGGTTGAGCAAACAAAGGAAACTTGGTGACTCTTTTTATTTCTTTGTTACAGGGCAGGGAGAGAGCACCACAGAAGCCCCAAACCCGCCTGTTCTAAGTGGGTTCTGCCATCCGCTGCGTCAAGACAAAACATATAAAACTTTAATGAAAAGGGACTTTAATACAGTGAGCATACAATATGGAACACAAAGAATGTAACTTCCAAATCAAACACCTGAAGTTACGCATCCTCTTGTGGGCAAAAGTCAACCTGAAAGGGATTGGCCCAAAGCAAGGCCTGAAAGCTGCCATAAGACTAAAGCACCATCTGGTCAGGACCCATGGAAAATGGTCAGAAATGGCCAGACAAATCTGGAAGGAAAAGAGCAAAATCAAAATCAGTATAAACACTGCCATAGTCACCTCCCTACAGGTATCTCACCTACATCTACCTTAACCAGTCCGGGTCAGGAAACAAGCATGGCTTCTTCCTCACATGCTTGCTGCTCCATATGGCTTCCTCAGGTCTCCTCCTTCTTCTCCAACCAACTTCCTTCCTTTTTTTTTCTTCTCCTTTTTCTCTGCTCAGCTCCAACCTCTTTCTGGGTAGGGCAGGGAACCTGGAACTTCCCCTTTTCCTAGGGACCACCCTGTTACAACCCCCCCCTTTTGATTTTTAATACCACTGTATCTATGATGGCACAAATTTTAGGGTACAGTTAGTCACCAACATTGTCCATGAATGTCCAATATGACAGCCATAAGTGGAAAATAGTCCATCAGTACATGTGAAAGGGAAAAAAAAACTTCTGGTGTATATCAAAATCACAGTAACAGAACAAAGCAAAACTTTGAAAGTTGTTTAAAAGGTTCTCTGAACTTTGATCCCAACTTTGTTCAACTTGTATGCACAAGTTATTACAAATACATGTTAGCTTTTATTTTTCTATTTTTGCATAAAATCACAGGGCAGAATAATCAAGTAGCAATATGTTGTTGTTGCTGGCCTTGTTGGAATACTCCATACAGGATCAGAGCGAACCATCGATGTTCAGTCCACACAGGCTTCAGGAGCAACATTGGTCTCAGCAGACTCAACCTGGAGTTTCCTCTTCTCAAGGTTACCAGGACTTTTATTTTTCCGGGTCGCCCAGGCCTGCCAATGGAGGCAAGCTTCCTCACCTCCGTTGGAGGTGTCCTATTTTTACTTTTCTCTGTACACCTTCTCTTCTGACCCCTCCCAAGATACAAATTCCAGGTTGTGTACAAGGAGACAGGATATACCTCCTCAACCAAACTGTGTCTTCCTGACTTTGATGCCTGCACTGCCATCCAGTCCAGCTCATCTCTCTTTGGGCCTGATGTATTCGTGCACAGCCTTTCCTGAGAATGGACGTACACCAGCTTGGGGCAGGTGGGACAAAATGTGGCAAAGCTACACGAGTTGGCAAAAACATTGGAGAATCCAACACCAAAAGAGATGTCTTTTGGGGATGGCTGCAACAACCTTTCTTACCATGGCTAGTCCCTTTACTAGGCCCCTTGATATAAGTCATAGCCTTCTTTACTATGGTCCCATGCATGGTCCGATTTTTAATGACACGGGTGCAGGCTCTAACCAAGATTGCAGTACATCAGCTCCTGTTACACCCCACGGTCCCCTATATTCCTTTGTAGGAATTCCACAACTGTCCCTAAGTCATGCAGGAAGTAGCCATGGAGAAACCACGTCCCTTTTCCTAATAACTAAAGAAAAAGTGGGGAATGTAGGGAGTGACCAAAGATTTACTGACAACGACTGAATTAGAGCAAAAAGAATTGGGACTTGCATCCAAGCTTTGCATCCAAGCTTGATAAAGTGGTAATAAACTGACCTTGCATCCAGGATGGGACTAGCTGAAGGTGATAAGGAATAGGGCCTCACATCCAAGTTTGATAATTAACTGGGCCTAGCATCAGGGGGGCACAGCGATGAGTCACTCCTTTAGAATGTGAACCTAAGAAGTTCACATTCCCAACTTCTGTGACCTGCTGAAAGAAAGGAAGGCAGGAGGCAAAGGCTGAGCAAGCAGAATTTATTGCCCCCGGCAGCAGCTGAGACAGAGATCCTAGAGTGGGGTCCGCAGCCACTGCCAGCCCTATAGAGGGGAAGGGTCTCTTATATAGATTCTAAACTCAGATTCCAAAAGGGTGACTCATCGCTATGTCCCTTGATGTAAGGCCCAGTTAGTTGTCACCTTCATCTAGTCCCATCCTGGATGCAAGGCCCCATTAATTGGATGCAAGACCCAGTTTATTAGCGCCTTATCACCCTTGGATGCAAGGCCTAATTTATTACTGCCATTATCCAGTCCCTCAGTAAATCTCCGCACTGGGTCACTCCCAATACTTCCCCCCTTACTGAGTTGGCGGTAGCTGTGGACCCTACTCTGGGGCTCTGTCTCAGCTGCTGACCGAGAGCAATCAACTCTTTGCTCAGCTTTTCTGCCTTCTGTCTTTCTTGCGGCCGGTCACAGAAGTTGGGACAAAACAGGAGGTCT